CATATAACATAAGGTATAAGGGGGAATATAATTGCCAGTGACTCATCTGTATGCCATCATCTCATTGGTCCATCAGTGTTAATCGGGCACCGTTAAGCTGAAGAGTTTATAGGCATTACAGCATAGCTACAGAGCCCACGCACACAGCTGCTGTAGTTGACATAGCTAACGCACACCTCCAAATGTAACTGCACATTAAAAAGGTACGGTGGCTTTGGAGTTACCTCATACAAAACCGTAAATGGTCAGCTCGGGCTGTTTGTGTTTTCTCCTGCAAGTTAAAGAGATGGATTAAACTAAGAATAAAAGGTCCTTTTTTCTTAAATGACAGCTAGCAAAGACAAGCCAACTACAAAACTTAAATTCACATCAACCAAAAACTGCATGAGAGAAAACAATGCTATGGGAATCAGTGAAACTCCCTTTAATTCTATATGTCTACCATACATACAGCTATAATCCATCAGAAGCTTGTTTTTAATAAGGTACACTAGCATGAACATTCACAAGTTCAAGCAATGTATGACCCTTTGCAGTCAGTAGATTTGTTCATATTTACTTTAGTGTAATTTTGAGAGAACATGTCATTGACTACTGCTTGTTAAATCAGATACAGAGGATTGGAAAAATAGATTTTATACATCCGTGGTGAATGGTGATACATGCTCAATATTTCCCGAGATGTTTTGAGCACATTAAACAGCCTTTGATGGGTGTCCTGCTTGGGGTGTCACTGAAATGAATAGGATATTTGAATGCGCACTGTCCCGGATGTCACACTCAACTATATATCAGAATAGAAGGGAGACATACAAAGAAAAGGAGAATCAAAGTGGAGGAGGCAGATTGAGGAGGTTTAGTAACACTTGATGCCAGTATGAGCTGAAAGACTGGAGGTGGGCATGTCCTCCATCAGCAGCCAAATGTATTTTTAGCATCATCCAGCCCAAAGCTTAGTGAGAAGAACATATTGTCAGGGACGTAAAGACAGGTGTGTAATGTAAACCTTCACTATGTGGTTACAGGTGCAGTAGAGCACGTCTGACCACATCCCCATAGCCAGCTGAGCCTGCATTGAAGGACAATTTGCACCACTCGACTGCATGACACCGACAAGACCAGGAAGTAACACCTGCGTTACACACTGGAATAATATACTATTTTACTAGAACATCCCACTTTTTTTTTTTAGCATGATATCAAATATGTATTATGTCTTTACATTTCGTATAAACATGCTTTACACAAAAATCTAAAATAACCACTTTTTTAACATGGAAAATCCCAGTTTTATTAACAGTCAAAGTCGAGGTTTTTGGTAAATTAGTCGAAAAACTGTGCTTAATAAACATCTTCCATATTATTATAAATTTTTTTAAACTTGCTTTGACTTTGGAAATATACCTCAGGTGACAAAAGGATGTTGTTAAAGTTGGAATTTAAATCTGTGTCTAAAATCTAAGAGTTACAATGACTATTACATGAATAATATGTTTAAAATGTTGGAATATTAACTGAATGGTAAGTTATGTACCTCTAGTGTTGTGAAGGAACATCCTGTTAGAGTCTGCAGTTTTGTGATTTTTTTCACTACTATTCGCTTTAGAGCACTGTCAAAACAAATTGATAGCCGTAATGTTACAATATGCCATTTGTTAGATTCAATAACATTTTGATCAAAAACTACAGTCTACAACAACCCATTAGCTGACTGCTGCAATGTAAACAAATAGTGGACAGGGAGATGTGATTTTGTCATCAATTAGCTGCAAAACAAGCTGGTGAGGAAATTAAGTGCATCGTTATATATTAAAACGTTGCTCCTGTTTTCTTCTGGGAAATTAAAAGATGTTGGATACAATTGGGTGTGGGGGGAAATATATTTAAAAAGGGGTCCAAAACCTCCTTAAAATCTGGTCAGCATTGGTATCACCAAAGTCAACGGGATATAGCCCACAGACACCATGTATGTCAGTGCAGAAAATGAAAGGTTAATCCTCTGCGCGCACCATGGATATTTGTACCAAACATCAGCATGGCTAAAGAAGAAGCACATTTGAGCAAAGCTTAAGAGTGCAATGAAGGAACACTGAACCACTGCCTTTTACACTAAATGTAATGACTGTTTGTAACCATGATCGAGAAGAATAGTGAAAAAATTGAATAAATCTTTTGTTACTCATTAATGAAAATACAATCTTGTATACAGCCGTATTTCAAGATATATTTAAAAATGTTGGATTTAAATGGACTGTAAGAGTTGTGTGAATATATTTATAGTATAGATATTGGCAGTAAACAAATAATCAATACATATTTAAAAGATAGGGAAAACCTTACATTCAATACACTTTATAAACAGTAAGTCTATAGATAATCTAGATTTTGTTCTTCGAATGTATGCTTACAGTAGAGGTGTAATATGACATTCAGAGCATTGATATCATATGGGGATGTTTCTGGATGGGATGTATTCTGGCTTATAGCACTGTCCTGTCCCCTGTAGTGTTTAGGAAGCATAACACCTCCCGTTTACCTTAGGTTAGCACTGTTTGCTATGTCAGCATGTAAGCTGTTGTTTGTATTGTCCTGGCTGTTAGCAGTGTTACTGTTAGCCAGTGCCATGGTGAGTACCCTATGGAGGCAATCCCTTTGATCTGAATGTCATTTTCAGCCCCTTAAAGTGGTAAATGTGCTTATTAAATAAAGGGTGAGCAGTGAGAAACTGTAAACAGCAACTGACCCCATTAACTGTTGTTTCTTAACTACACTGTAGAATTACCATTGCCCACAATAGCTGCCTCGATCCATTTGACTTTACAAAGCCGGCAGAAAGCTTTACTTTTATCCGTGATTTTGCAAAAATGCTTATTTCTCAGATGGTTTGATGTCATGATATCTGTAAGACACAACTTGTTACCCTTTTTCACAGTAAAAAAGTGAATGATGGCCTAGTTTACACAGTATATGAAGCAATGGATCAGAGTGACAGGGCACAACTGGTGCGCACAGTATTAAAATCAGACTGATCTTGGCCACACGTTATTTTCAATATAAAACCAGAAAATAACATTCGACTCAACTTTGTCCTTAGCATTACTCACTGATGGGGGTCACTGCTTGCTCTTCTCAAAGCCTTTCAGTCAAGGCTTCACATCCTTGACTCCCCAACATTTTCTCAACAAAATATATATCTTTTAACCTTCACTTTTCAAACGATTCCTTACAGCTCCATCTAGCAAACCAATCTACAAAACCTTGTTAGCTATAGCCATTGGTGCTGGCACTACCAGCATGCCAAACTATTTGAAATGATTACTTGGAAACATCAACATTAGGTGAAATTGTTCATATTTTGATATTAATGTTATATATTTCAACTGTTTATAAATTAAAGCTAATCAGTGGCATCAGCAAACTCTTCTTAGCTTCTCAATGTTGGTCCATCTAAACAATTGGAGCTGTTCAACCCAGAGATTCAACTAACTATTTCAATGCCTGCCAACAAATAATCACTGACAAAGATAAAAATCATAGTTTTAGAGTGATAAATTAATCAACTTCCATTTAACACTGGGTAATAGTACAGGTAGCCATACACCAATCCAAGAGCCCACAAACTTAAAGCATTTTCTAAGTAGAAATTTGATTTATAAGCAAAAGTATAATATTGACAAGTATTGCCTTGATGTAATTCACGCAATTATGAATTCAGAAGTTAACCTGAATGTTTTCCTCAAAGCAAACAAGTTTTAAAGCACAGTATTAGTATGTTTGACTGCATGAAGCTTATCCCAGTTAAAAGAAGCATAATAAAGCCAAAAACAATATATACACATCCATGTTGTGAGATGAAAGCATATAAAATAATAGCCAACAAAAATGAACATAATTGGGTGGTGATGTTTTAATAAGGACTTTTTTCACATCACCGCACGTCCATGGATCCTCTTCCAACAATAACTAAACATATATAGACAGTCAGCAGAGACAACTGTAATAAAACAGTTTATGAAAAGGAAATCACACACTGATTCTCACATATTTAATATAGCCTACTGTCTTCAACAGATGTCCTGCCTCATCATATATTGTATGTCAGTGTTGTGAGTAGTGTTATCTGCTTGAACACCCCTGAGAGGATGCCCATGTTCCTTTTAGATATCATTTCTTTGTGGCGTGTTTGAAATGTGATCTTTACTTTAAAACATAGAATACTTGTTTTGTCTAACTATATAATTTGTCCTTGGAAGTCGTCAGACATTCGCAGCCCCCCCATCTCTCTCTGTCACCACAATATGACACCATGTCAGCATGACAAAGGCTAATGGCAGTAAGTCAGAGAAGCTGATGTTGAAACCAGGCTTCATGCAAATTCTGGCACAGGTTCCAGAGTGATGTTACGCACGAGGGCAGCGTGACCTTCCTACTACACATTTGGGCAACTTTTACGCCCAAAACTGTCGGAGTCACTATTAAAAAAATTCGCACATCAACTGCAAAAGGAGCTCACACATAGCCTACTTGTTAACACTGCTCGATACAAAAATAAACTAGTGTCTCATATTATGTGCCAAACATCCAACAAAACAGTCACACAGATGTAAAGGCTGTGATGACAACATATATTTTTGGCATGTATGCGCACCTTCAAAACCATCACTCCGTCTGTAGCTATTCACCATGACCGTTCACACAGCGCCGCTGTCACTTTACCACGACTTTCAACTCGGCGACAGACTGAGGAGTTCAGCCCGTAAATGGCATCTTATCTCTTCACTACAGTCGTGAAGAATTATGTCAAAGTATATCAGAAGCGACACAAAGTATACGCATAAATTAACCAACATAGTCTTTGCAAAGCATGAGAAGGGTTAGTTTCGCCTGTTAAAGGGCTTAGTACACCGCTTTTTACATGCGCGACGCCCTCCCCTTTACTTCCTAATTCCATTTTTCGTCAATATTACAAAGCATTTTCCATAGACATGGTTTTATCCTACCTCGTAAAGGTCTCCTGAAGCCATTCTCGGGTGCGGACTCCGGCGGAGCGAGGTTCTTGCCTGCCTTGTTGGCTTTTTTTGGACCCTACTCTCTCGGTGTTTCGCCGAAAGCTCCGATAGACGGGAATTAGCGAGCAGCCGTGTTATTCTGAGCAATCCGCAGTAGCAGATCAGCAGACAGTGTCAATCGAGCCCGGCGCTCTGCGATGGATCGTTCCACACTTTAAACAAACAACCATCGGGGCGGTGCTGTTTACCCAGACCCAAGTCGAGGACTGTCTGAAAATTAGCCCCCAGCTAAAGAATGCACAGCCTGATGGTCTGCATGCGCCCTGTGTTGCAATCCAACTACTCAACGGGAGATGGTATGCTAGATGTCCTGTGTTCACAGAGACCAGCTGAGACAGTTTCCTCTCTATCACCCACTCTGCTCTTTACTGTAAACAGAAGATATTATTTAACCTTGTTTAAGAGTCCATCAGGAAACATTCAGAAGAAACTATTTTAAAGGAGTAATGACTTACTGGAAGTTTCACTCCTATAGCTTTAAATTCATGCTCATGCATATCCCCTTTTTACTTTCGTGTCACAACAAAATGTGAACTAATTTGACTATGTATACAGACATGATGTATTAATTCATTAAAAATACAGTACACAATAATCACATTTCCATTTTACAATCCTCCTGTTGCATTTAAAATGAACTCATTCAACAAGGACACAGTTGGGCTGCATCAACACAACATTATCCGTGTTGTACTCCACAGGTTTATGGGAGTATATGGTAAAGATTGATATGGTAAGGAAACACGTGAATAAGCATGTCTTCATTACTGACTATTTGTGACTTTGAAATAATGTGACTTCAACTAAAATGGTCAGAAGTCCTTAATCGTTAAAGGTTAAAGAAAGATAGTAAATGTAAATATACTGTTATCATAGACTACCTGACTTATGTGTCTTCTTTGTATTTCATTCTCAGTGTAATTCTTCTCTATCAACCATTGTATATCTGGAATTTTTGATGCCATGCACAATGTAGAAATAATAATTTAAAGAGGTCAACTGAATTATGCAGTGTAGAAAGTAGCAATACATTTGATTTATTTTGAAGTAGATTTTCTATATCATTCTTTTTAAACTACAAATGATGACCACATGCCTCTGCATACATAGTCGACCACTTACTCAACAAACCAGGAAAAACATTATGTTTCTAAGACAAACTCTGTACTCATATACAGTACAATGCTGTGTCTTGGAGCATATATAAAACAAATTCTTCCTGCTTCACATTATTGATGCTAACGTCTGGGGAAAGGAGCTCAGTGCAGATGTTGATTTGGAGCATCACTTTTCCTCTGAGTGTGCTACAAAGAAAAAACTCAACTCTCAACATGCTGTTTTCATTGAAACAAAACCATCCCTGTGAAATAAATTGCTGAATAAAATGAGCACTTTTGGGTGACGTTGGGTTTAAGCATTAAGTTGAAATGGTTAGGTTGGGGCTAGAAAATGCATCGAAATGCATTTTAACAACCATTGTCCTCACAAGTACGTACATTTAAAAGTATGTGTGTGAACATAAAAAGGTGTCCTGGGATCTTGTGACTCCATTTATTGTGGTTAGTGAGGCATATGTTACAGTATACTTCAAGAGGCACTCTCCCTTTTGAATTTCTTTTAAAGCTACTGAACACTTTCCTTTAAGTTTAATGAAGCCAAGAAGGGAAATACTCTTGAATGGTACAAAAAATAGGACTATATGGACTTGAACTGAAAAAAATAAACATTTATACAACCGTTCCAAAAGGCCAGATCATGCAGTTTCAGGCAATTTAAAATCTTACTGTTGAGTTTTTACTATTTTATTAAATAGTGTACCTTTGTCCTGTTTCGTAAATTAAAAGCAGTTCAAACTGTATGCCGAAAGCATGGGGAAATGGCATAACAGGAAGTGTTATCTGGATAGATTTCAGTTAGCTGTATATCAGAAGACAGTTAGTTAAATATCTTCTCCATTGGGAAATATAATGTATTAATCCAATAATGTAATATAAGTTACCAGATCATGTTTCACACTAAAGTCCAATTGCTTAGTTTGCCATATACTGTATGTCTTTCCAGGTGACCATATTTGCGTATGTTTTTTTTTAACCTAAAGTCACTGTTATGTTATGTCCTTTTTCATGTTGAGCTATTTGCTATTTTCTATTGTAAGAAGGGGGATTGTGACTTGTCTTTCATTTTTTACAATAAATAATTCCATTCACAGCTGTTAAAGGTGGGGTAGGTAAGTTTGAGAAACCGGCTCGAGATACACTTTTTGTTATATTCCATGGAATGCTCTTAACATCCCGATAGCAATGAATATCTTAAGTGCTTTGACAAAAAATCCATAAAAAAATGTCATCTGTGGAAGCCGTAGTACTGTAAAAAGTACGACCAATCATTTTAGCCGGCCCGGCTAAAATAACTGGATGGCCTACCTGCCTGTCAGCCTTCCATCTGTGCACAAACTTATCTCGTGCCCTCATTGGTCATGTGCGCGTTCGTGTGTGTTGGAGGAGGGGCTCTGTAAGGAAGTGGCAGATTTATTCCGGCTGTGTATTTTCAAATTCTAGCACACTCGAGCTGGTTTCTCCAAAATTACCTACCCCACCTTTAATCTTTAGTGATGGTACAGTGTTAAAGGGACATTACAAATTGATCTTATTATGTTCCTTTAGTATGTTTGGTTCACTATATTAGGAAGTACATCAATGATTTAACCTGTAATGTTTAACTCAAAACGAATGACACGACAATTATTAAATCAAGCATTTTATTATTTTTGGATTTCGCTATTACTTTCTAAATAATCATCACTGCTCATTATCAAATGAGGCAGGTATTCAGGTGGTTAATGGATGAAATTCGATGGATGTCCCTTGGTCTGTCCTCTTCAGCAACATCCCAACTATCACACGAGTTGTTGTCGTTCCCTACCTGTCCACCAGATGACATCAGATTTTTTCACCTGACTTCCTCATTCCTATGCTCACATGTTCCAACTTCCCTTATCTCTCACTACTTTACCATTCCACTTTGTTGGTTTATCGTCATTGCTGCATGGAGTTTTCATTAGTTGTTTGCCTGTTATCTGTCCGTCACCTGTCCGCCATTTGGACTCTCAGCCTTAATAATAATAATAATAATAATGCATCACATTTTTTATTAGAGCGCTTTTGCAGCTGCTCAAAGCGCTTTACAATTACACATTACACATATTAGACATGTAAGAGTCATTACTGTGGACATTACCCACAGGAGCAAATTCGGGTGAAGTGTCTTGCCCAAGGACACAACGGCCGGTACCACTTTACAATAAGACTACCCTTATAAAGGGTTTACGAATAGTTTGTAATTTATTTATTAATTAGGTTGTGAACACTTTATAAATCATTAATACTTTTATAAGACATGAGATAAACAGGAGAGCCCACATTTAGTGGGCCCACATTTATCTGTACTGCTAAGCCTTATATTGGCTACTTAGATTACTTCGTCTTCTTCATCAGCAGGCATCCTTGGTATCTGTTATTCACTGAGTTGATTCCCCCCCTTCCATCTTGATGTTTATTGGCATCTCTTATGACCATCTATGAATGAGTTACTAACATTTATAACTGCCAAAAAGGAGCCTTATTGTAAAGTGTGAAACAAATCACCATTTATTAATGAGTTACAACCATTTATAATTGGTAAAAGGGAACCTTATTGTAAAGTGTGAAACACATCACCATCTATTGATGAGTCACTAACATTTATAACTACTGAAAGGGTGCGTTGTTTTTAAGTTTAATACACATGTCCATTTATGAATGAGTTATAACATTCACGCTGACCTAATACACATTTTTCACATGAAATGCAAAGTAAGATGCAAAAGAGCCAAGCAAAACATTTTATTCACACATGAAGAAAATTAAGACTCAAAGTAATGACTGTTTAGTATGACTGATACACATATTTAAACATAAAAGCTTTTCTCAGACATAAATGAAAGACTTGGTAAGACATAATGGTACTCAGACTGGAAAGGCTTTGTGTATATCCTTGAACAAGCGTCCAAGCAGTCCATCAGGGTGAGCAGAGCCAAGCCAAGATGACCATTCAAGAACCTTAAGGTGTTCCTCCAACAAACTCTCTGTACGGTTTCGTCTCAGTCTACGGACATGTCCTTTGACGGTCGACCAAGCTCTTTCTATATGTTGGGTATGACTGCCGTCTGGGGGTTCACACACCTGCTGTGGTTTATGGTGTAGTGGTTGTACCCCATGTTACTCAGCACTCTCCTGTATGCCCACTAATAATGCTACTTCCTGACTTAACATGCCGTCGAATCAGAGGGACAAGGTGGCATCTTGATCTTTTCTCCACTAGTTTCAACACTAGTCTCTAACTCCCATCATTCCGAAGACCCATTTCTTCCTTCTCCAGGTATGTCCAAAGCGTCCACGTGCATACTAACAACAAATAAATCATCACATCATCTTAGTTAACAACAAAATGCACACAAATTACATAAAAATTGTTGCACATCATGTTTCAAAATGCCATACTTGTGTATTAGGTGCATTGTATAACATAATTTAAGGATAATTATACAGTAATGGTCCATATTGATTTTTTATTCTCTTGTACAAGAAAGCCCAGTCTGTTGTGCACCGACAGAAATGCTAGAGAGATGCATGTTATTTACGTTTGCTTTCTCTCATTCCAGGCTTCCTGATTATTTTCACCTGTGTCTCCTGTGCTCATCAATGTCAGCCCCGCCCCTGATTGGTCCCACCTGTGTCTAGTTACCCTGTGCTTATATTCCCCTGTCTCCCAAGTGTTCTTTGTCAGTTCGTATTGTCTCTTGCTATGGTCAGGTCTATGCTCTTTGTACTCTTGTAAAGTTTGATTCCTCACTACGTGAGCGCTTTCATTTTGTTCCTCTATTTTTGTCATCTCGGTTAGAGATTTGATAGTTACCTTTTTTGTTGTTCATTGCTGTATTTTGGAAAATAAAGTATCTTACTAATACTTTACCTCTGTCTCCCGGGTCGTGCAATTGGGTCCTACATCCTAAGTGTCTGAGTTCGTAACACAGTCTATAACTGCCGAACATAGGAACTGGTTACAGTACCTTCTCCCAGACACAAATACTCAAATAAAATTGTTTATTGGTGTTACCAATGCTTACTATTTATTTGATACCAATTTGGTAATACAATTAATAAAAAGAACAAGGTTTGGGTTCGTTCTTCAGATATGACTGTGACGTTAACTTGTAAGCTCAAT